AAAAGAAATAACTCCTTCATTCTTTGTATAAGGAAAAAAAAAAGATCTTTATAAAGCAATTTAAATAAGCGTTTTCAGATACCTTTCCACTGTGTAGCACTAGGGATTTTAAATACAAGCAGGCCAGTACTATCTGTCAGGTGGACTCCCCCCAGTCCATTTTCCCTCTGGCTGCTGTTAAGTTACCATTATCCTCCATTCCCTCTAATAATGGGCTTAAGATCAAGTGAAACTGGAAATGGAAAGAACAGTGAAAGATGACAGACTTGAAGGGATTTTATTGGAACTATGGGTTGCTCCTAAGGTCAGAATCAGTAAGTATAATTAGATTCCTGGCATTTACAACAAATGTAAAGTAACTCTGAGATTTCTTTTGTGTGCATGTAATTAAACATGCACTTTTACTGCCCTCTGCAGTACCGCAAAGTTACTTTGATTCTAGTGCATGAAAGCTGTTTGAAAGAGCAGACACAAATCTTCATCTCTATATTGCACTCATATTTCTGAAAACAAAGCATTTTTCAGAAGAAATGGAGCAGCCCCTTTCTCATGGAACACAAAAGGGAACGTTGTTTTTACTAATAATTACAGCCTTTTCAGTACCTCCCAGGAACTTTCTCAAAAGAAACTTGAATAGACAGAAAGCTCCCAGCGCAGACAGCTGAACACCACTTTAACCCATGAAGGAAGTTCTAACATTCCACTTCCAGTCATTTTTCCAGTACGAGTACAAATCAGCCCTTTTTGGAGAAATTCTCCTATCATTTAAACACAATCCAAAGGAGGCAAGTGGCAAGCTCAAACTGAAACCAGCGTTGGTAGTCCAAATATACAGTGGGGGGCAGAAGTGACAGATGCTGGATCTCGATCCCTTGCATGTTTTCTATTGTGATGCTGCCTGGATGCTGCAGATTTTCCTGGTCCTAGTATTTCCTTTTTTCCTGTTCTAGTATTGAATGTGGAGGTTGGTGGCCCTGCATGGTGGCAGGGGGGTTGGATTCATGGTCCCTGAGGTCCCTTCCAACCCTGGCCATTCTGTGTCTTAGCAACACAACAGAGCAGATAATCCTGAAAATAACTTCAGTAAATATACATGTGAACAAAATGTTGCTTGAAAGAGTATTTTGACTCAAAAATTGATTCATAGAACAAAGCTGGTTTTAGCTTGGCTTCCTTAAAGAGGCTTAAATCGCTGCATTGTCAAGTTGTTTTCAGAACATCTGTCCCAACATCTCTAATTTTTGGACTAGCTTTCCATTTCCATCTGTACTTAACAAAAGGGTACACGCTTTCCTTTAAGCTTTATGTGACAATAGCAAAATAATGAAGGAAGGCCCCATTAACGTGCAAATGAAGGAAGAGCTGGACAGCTTAGCTCTTATGTGTTCTGCTTGCTGCCTGGTCAGCACTCATTACCAACTACCCAGTCTTAAACAGATGGACCTCTCCATTTGCCAGAGCTAAGTCTACTGTCAGTTAGCCAGGCATGGTATGAAGGATGCAGAAAGAGAACACAAGACTCTTACTGGCCAGGGAGCATGAGGAATATAAAGCAGAAGGCACAGATCTATAAAAAGCAGGGCTGACAGGTTTTGCTGCCCTCCCAACAACCTGCTCATTTTTATTAAAGGAATTTGACCTATTAAGTCTGGTGTTTGGCACAACAGCATTCTCCATCTGAAGCAGACTCCACTGCATGCAATATGCACAATTAAACATATGGATGTTATTTTTCTCTAACGTTATCCTATCAAGCAGACATTAATGCGAGCAAATTGCATTTCCTCCGTTTAACCACCAGAGGGCCTCGTTCCACTGCAAAAAATTTTCCCGATCAGCACTTCGGAAAAAACGTCCTAAATCAGAAAACACGGGAGCTCAACACCGCCCTAGAGGATGCAGTATTTATGGATCCCATGTAAGTGCTTGAAGCAAAGCAGAGCACTTCGTAGGGTTAAAGACACCACTACGGATACCCAGCTGTTTCACAACATACTCAAAATCAGTGCCTGTTTCACCACCAGCTGCAGAACACAGCCCTGCTAAATGAACCTGCCATGTTGAACCAAGAAATGCCTGGCCTGGGTGAGGATGCCTGCTGAGCAGCACATACCTGAACCTAAGGCTGGCTTTTAAGGAAGTCAGGAGAAATAAACCATCCAAGCTTCTGGACAAACCACTGAGAAGTTATTTTGCAGATACTTCACTGTCCCAAGATGTTTGCCAAAGGACAAGTATTTGTTAGGCATTTCTCACAGAAGATTCTCACGGAAGATCCGTAGTCTCAGGTGTTTGCCTAATAACTCCCTACTCTGAATAGGTACCTCAGTTCTTCCTGATGTTTTGTCCACATTCCCCCAAGCCTGTATATTTTAGCACACACCTTTTGTGTTACTTGGTAAAGTTTATCTCAGTCCACACATTTTCATTCTTTCACCTTTCTGATTGTCTCCTCCATCCCACTGTGGGGAGTGAGTAGTCCTTAAGTCTACTGGCTTCTCTTGACTCCAATAGTGTTTCATCCTGGTTCCCCACACACGGCTTAAAATTATTTGCTACAGGTTTAAGGTAGTTCTTTATGACCCACGTTACTCAGGAGATCAGTTTGCATGTATCTGTTAGCATCTCTGGACTAACCTGAACAACTCGAGAATAATGTCAAGTTTTCCATGATATCTGTGGGAAGTTTAGATACAGCACGATGTTAGGAATAAGGTGAAGAAAAGCCAATTCACTGATCACTTAATTCCATCCATAGCCTACACAGTGAGACAACACCAAACTAGACAGTTTGGGTATTACAGCTCACTATGGCAGGTGTACAAGCAGCACAAGCACCTGGTTTCTCCTGCTTACAGACAGCGTAGAAGTGTCAACCACTACCCTGTGGTTTGCAGAGTTGGGCACTTAGGATTATGAATACAGAATAAAGATGAAACAAAGCATTAATTTCCAGCTGTGCTGGAAACGGTTCTCCACAAAAATCTTGCCTTACTATTTAAAAACACCACTTTGTTTAACATTAACCCTTTATTCTTCACGTTGAAACATGTAAACTATTGGATGCTTATTTAAGACACGAAAAGTGTTCTTACTGGCTTCACACTACTCGTTGTTGCTCTTCAACACATACGAAAGTAGCACATTCTCCAAAAATTCACGTGAAAACAGTTTGGTGTCACCAGTTGCTAAGTGGCACAGAGGCAGAACATGAAGTCTTCAGGGGCTGATGCAAATCATATGCATTAACTATTTAAAAAAACATACAAACAATACTGAATAGTAAGTAGTCATATTTGAAACTGTGCTCCCATGCAGCTTTACATGCAATTTTCAGACCTACCGCGCAAGTTAAAAAGTCTGACACACAGAACAGTTACTGAGATACCCAGATAGTCCAGTTGAGAGGCCTTTGCCTTTCAGTTAGCACAAAGAATCCTGCACTGAATCCAGCACTGAATGATTCCAGATAGACATGGACCACCTTATCCCCACAGTGCTGCTTCCTCTTGTATGTTTCCCCATCAGAAAGACAAAAGCTACGTTTACTTTAAGTGTGCCTGAAAAATTAAGATAGCTAGTAGTACTCCTTACAGCTGGGATACTCACCTGAGAGCTAAGACATTTGTCTCCATTAAGCCTGACAGTGCTTAAGTAACACCAACAACCAGAAATCCCAGTCTACAGATCTGATCAGGCAAAGCCCTGTGTAATGGAGCTGGAAGTGCTCATCTGGTTTCTAGCTGTCAACTTGTTACCAGCGGTGTCCCCCAGGGCTCGGTACTGAGGCTCATCCTGTTTAATATCTTTATTGATGACCTAAATGAAGGGATTGAGTGTACCCTGAGTAAGTTTGCAGATGATACCAAGTTGGGAGGTGGTGTTGATCTGCCTGAGAAAGGGAGGCCCTGCAGAGAGATCTAGACAAGCTGGATCACCGGGCTGAGGTGAATGGGATGAGGTTTAACAAGGCCACGTGCGGGATCCTGCACTTTGGCCACAACAACCCCATGCAGCATTACAGGCTTGGGGATGAGTGGTTGGATGACTAAGAGGAAAGGGACCTGGGGGTGTTGGTTGATGCTCAGCTGAACATGAGCCAACAGGTGGCCAAGAGGGCCAACGGCATCCTGGCCTGCATTAGAAATAGTGTGGCCAGCAGGAGCAGGGAGGTGATCATCCCCCTGTACTCAGCACTGGTGAGGCCGCACCTTGAGTACTGTGCTCAGTTTTGGGACCCTCACTACAAGAAAGATATTGAGGCCCTGGAACGTGTCCAGAGAAGGGCAACGAAACTGGTGAGGGGTCTGAAGCACAAACCTTATGAGGAGCGGCTGAGGGAGCTGGGATTGTTCAGTCTGGAGAAGAGGAGGCTCAGGGGAGACCTCATTGCACTCTACAACTTCCTGAAGGGAGGCTGTGATGAGCAGGGGTTTGACATCTCCCAGGCAACAACCAGGACCTCAGGAAATGGCTGCAAGTTATACCAGGGGAGGCTTAAGTTGGACATAAGAAAGAAATTTTTCTCTCAGAGAGTGGTCAGGCACTGGAATGGCTGCACAGGGAGGTGGTGGAGACGCCGTCCCTGGCAGTGCTCAAGAGGCGTCTGGATGAGGAGCTGCGAGACACGGCTTAGTGCTTGTGGTAGCAGTGGTGATGGTAGAGCAGTTGGACAAGATGATCTTGCAGGTCCTTTCCAACCTTGTGATTCTGTGATTCTAGTAGAAGTTCTAAACAACAGACCTTGGCAGGCAGTGAACAGACACCCATCAATCCAAGCGATTTGAAAGAGACTGCAAAAGCCTTATCCAGTACAAACGAACCATGGCAGTCTGCATGCAGATAGCTCCTAAGTCTCCCTCAAAGTCAAAAGAAGGTGCAAAAACCCCCTGTAATATCACAGCCTATTATTATTGTGCCTCAGATATACGACCTTCACTATTTGCATTGTGTTATCCGCAGAACACCCATAGTGGGAAAAGAAGCTTGGGAGTCATAAATAAACGTATATCAATTTATTTTCCAGCAAATCCCATACAAAAGCAGTAGAAACATCAACTGCATTCAGCAGAAAGTCTGTACAGTGTTACCATTTACAAGTTTTACATTTAAAAACAGCAAATTAAAAAGGATTCGTTATTTTCCCTAGACATCTTATGCTCTTGTCTGTATTAACAAGTAGCTCATTACTATTTACAAGTTTCAAATTCAGGTTATAGTTTTTCAAAGTAGTATTACTGCTACCTATGTTTTTCCATTTTGACATCCGACATTAAGTACCTTCTTTCCAGATGTTTCAAAAATGTCTTTGTAAATGAAAAGAATCTGTGGTTTGTTGGCTTTTTTTTGTTTGTTTCTTTGCTTTTAAAAGCTAAGGCAGCTAAAACTGCAGTAACTGCAACAGACAAGTGTCCTTATACTGATCAGCAGTGTGCTTCTGCTAACATCTGCATTACATCCAGGCAGATCTTTGCAGTAGAGACAGAAGGAAAAGCAAAATGACATAAGATGGAAAATATTTCTGTACTCTGCTCTCGATCCGCAGGTGAAACACTGGAATTCAGGATAACCAGGGAAAAATAAAATAGCAAGATCTTGCCCAACTGTTTATAATTACTTGAGGACAGCATTGCCTCCAGCTATTATTTTAAAGTTTTGTAAAAAAAAAATAACAATAATTAAAAAAAAAATTTAAAATCTGATATACATAAATTAAAAGTTAGAAAGAAGTCACACTGTTGAATTTAAACATCAGTTTGGTCTGGACAATAGGCAGACCAACCACAGCTTAAAGAAATTTGTTTTTAACTTTGCTTAAGACTTCTCACTATTGACAGGTAGAAAACACTCAACTGATGAATCAATCTAACATCTCAAATTTAAAACAAACTTCTTCTAAACAATCTGCACAAAACTATTTAACTCACAGTATTTAAATCTTTAAGAGGCTCACTCAAACATGCGTCCAAGTCAAATTCACCTTCTGCTTGATAGTCAATGTGTCTAACTTTGGTGGGAGTGCCAGAACAGGTATCCTGGAATACAAAGTCAGTTAAAAAACAGCAGTTAAGTGCAGGTTTATTGATGCAGTAACTCACATAACTTCTTCTGCAGTTCATTTAGGCCACTCTATAACAGAAACTTACAAACACTTTTTTAAAGACCGTACTAAAACCTAAGGCTAGTCTTAAGACTGACAAGATTTAAATTGAAGACTTCTGCCCATTCTATAATTTCTGGAATGTAGTTTTAAGGATCAGCATATGCTACACCAAGGCATTATACTGATTTACATTCATTGTGAGAGAAAAACAGTAAAAAAAAAGATTAGTGTATCTTTAGAAAAGGCATCTGCTCAGCTATGCTAAGTGCTTCCTGAGTGTAAAAAAAAGCCTTCAAAAAGCCCAACAGTGCCAAGAATATACAAATTACATTCTGTTTTAACATAGTAACATTAGTCTCTAAATCATAACTCACAGGTGACATGCTTTTGACAGATATCTAGCATTCCATAACTGCAGAATCTGTCACTCTAGACTCAGACTATAGGCACAGATTGGTTACAGCTGGGAAATCATTTGGATTTAGAAACTGCTCAGTCTCTAAAAATAGCAGATGATGGAATCTCTTAAGTGTTCAGGCCATTCGGGTTATAATTCTAAGGACTGGACAGATTATTAATAAATATGTAAGCAAATGAGAGGTATTCTTACGTAATTATCTTGACAGCTTGTTTGAGATTCTGTAGAATTGCTTCCTATGGATTCTGTCTCCATCTCACCGAGGTCAACAGGACTACTGTGAAATAATTAAGAAGCAACATCTTAGAGCAAATTGCATTTTTCAGTAGGAGTTCACTTGTGAACGTGATGCCGTAAGAGCAAAGAGACCTACAGAAGGTACAGGGACAGCAAGACAAACTGCTGGGACAGGAGAGAATTGCAGGTTAACTCATACAGCCAAAATGGCCAAAGAATAAATAAAAGCCTTGAGATTGAATGACTAAAGACAACTAACACTCAGGCAATGCCTCAATGCAGAAGACAATTCTTTGCTCTTTTCCTAAGTTATTTCTTCTCTCCACTGATTTGTCAAGATTTAACAGCCTACATACTCCTATGATTCTGTGATTCGACGTACCACTGTTCTTGATCTAGCAAGTGAGAAGGTTGTAAGGCATGTTCTGGCACACTGCACTGGTCTGAGCTCAATATTTATGAGACCAGCCAGTCAATCAGAGCTCTCAGATTGCTCTGCAAAAACCAGCCTGTCTTACCGGTGTGATTTTTCCCTTGATGGAGCACTGTGGTGCTGACTCTGATTTCATCCAGTGGAAATACATTCCAGAAGCAAAGGTTACACACCCTTGCAAAGACAAAGGACAAGTCCATTCCCACCAAGTATGTCCTAAAAGCTGTGACACATTACTGAGAAGGAACTGAGTAGCTCTCAAGAGCACCATCCATGGACAAGTAACTAATGAAAACATTCAGCCATCACTGACTTGTCTCATAAATGGCCATGCTGCTTTATTTTTTAGAACTTTAAAAAATATCTCTCTATCTGGAATATTCCATACGCACATTTCTTGCAGATCACATCCTTCTTCAGTCGGTGGATCCCAGGAATGCAATGCAACTTTCCACAGCTTTATTTGTTGGTCCCATGACCTACGGCTGTACTTCTTAAATTTATTTGGAGTTCTGGGATGAACTCCTGGTATACGATGGCATCTGTTCAGATATTAGACACGAAAAAACAAAAAATTAATGCTTCCCAAACAGACTTATCATACGGCTGAGAAAGTTAAGACAGACTGCCTGCTGTCTAGCAGGCTCATTACAACCTTTTAACCTAGGAAAGTTACTTCACAAAAAGAACTACTGCCCAATCCCAGCACTCTGCTGAAAGGCTGGCATCTACACATGAACATTTTAGTTTTTCTGTCTTTGGGTCAAGTGGGAAAAAAAAGACAATCTTAGATCTAAAAACTTAATCGTGCAGTTTCTGCACATAAAACACAGTCCAAACATAAGAACAACCAGAGTCCATTTTGCTTTTTATTTTACCATTGACAAAGCTGACTGCAAAAAAAAAAAGCAGTTTCATTTCTTCAAGCTGACAAGCACAACCAAAATAGCTTACGCTTTCATTTCTGCAGCAGGAGAAAGTTTGAAGGGGAATTGCTCATGTACAGTTGTTGTAAAATAAATAAAAAAAATCCAAGTCCCACTTGATAGCTTGTTTTACTTAACTGACTAAATAAAAAAAAAAAAAGCTTAATTTGTAAATGCCTTTTATTTCAACGTGCTTCATATACCAAGTTTAGTATGTTCACATGCTTAGAAAGAACAAGCTGGACTTCATTTGAACATTTAGTTTTCCAGAAGCTCAGAAGCTCAAGCACCTTACCTAGGAACTTCTTTAATGTATCTGTCGTATGCAATTGTGTTTTTTCCATAGTTTATCTGTTTTTGTCTTCTCATCAAAACCACCTCATCCGTCTCCAGTTCTACTGTTACAGTGGACTCCTTTGAATCAGAACTGTAAGAAGAGAATGTCATAAACTTGGGAGCACTAGAAAACAAGTGATACTCAAAAAACAAACTGGTACATGGAAGACTCAAAAGAAACATGTAAAGTGCTTTCAAATGGATGCTTGAGATGTGAATGAATTTAAATGTTGGGAGAGAGCTAAGATGTACCACTTCAACTCGAGGGTTTTCAAAAGCAACACTACATTTGAAAAGTCAAATCTACTGCAAAGATTTTCTTCAGCTAAGCTAGAAACCTACCTTCCTGAAGAGGACTTCCTTTCTCTTGAAAACTCATTTACCAGGAGTTTTCTTCTGTATCTGCAAGAGTTCAAGTCAATATTAAGAACACACACACAGAGAACATACATGGCTGCATTGTGACAGCTCAGTCAGTTTTACCTCAAGGCCTTAAAGAAATCCACCTACACACTGTAAATACTTTCCACTATAGAGCAGATGATTCAGTTTTCCCCCAAAAACTAAAGAACACAACACAACCAAGGACTCATCCTAAGTTCACTATAAAACATCTTTAAACAGAAAAAGATATTCAGAAACAGTGAACAACGAGAAGGGACATTGAAAGGAACGTGGATACATTTCTTCCAAAAGGGAGAGATTTAGAGACATACATTCCCTCAGTGTGCTATGGAGTTAAGCTGGACTGAAAAGCAGAACTCTGACTCTGAGGCTAAGACTGAACTCCAATCTTTGTAGACAAGGACTGAACCACGGTCTGAGTCTGACTGAACAACGAAGTTAAAAATACGAGTCAGTACAGATTCTACAAGAAAACTTCCACTTCCCTCCTTTCCCCACTTCATCTTAAACACCCATGAGTACCTTGCAATTTCTTTGTTAACGCTGGTTCTCATTTCATCTTCTTCCACTGCAGTTGCCCAGTCTAAACACCGGGAAATGGGACCAGGGCCTTCTGGTGTTGTAAAACTGAAAGGAAAAAAAAAAGTTGTTCTACTGCATTTTACCCCTTCCCCACCATCTTCCCTGTTTGCAAGTTGGTAGCTGTTTGATGTTGTCAGGTATAGCACTCACAATGGTTGTGAAAATCTTGTATGATTCTATTGAAATTTCAGCATTGTAAAACTGAGCAATTGATGATTCCACTTTGAAGTTGACTGATCTGGGGGTTGGCGTTGATGATCTCTACAGGTCCCTTCCAACCCCTACAATTCTCTGATTTTTTATTTATTGGTATTTTTGTTCTTGTTGTTGTTTTAGTAAAAGTTGTTGAAGATATCTGTGGAAACATATCACTGCAGCAGGTAACCTAGACTACACTTTAAGAACTTTGATGGTTTCCTTCAGAGAACAGCGTGGGAAATATTATCTTTACTCATTTACTCACATAATTTCTCTCCATTAAAGGACTTAACCAGTATTTATTATTTCCTGTTTAGAGACTCAATAGGTATAAGAAAAAAAATAGAACACATAACAATATTGCTCAGCTAATCTAAAAAAAAAGACACTTCATTTTCAGTTGGTTAACTGAGATTTGCAAATGGGATGTAATGACTTCATTGTAGCCTGTTAACATCACGAGAAGATTCAAAACTGGGAAGGGATATTAAAGGCCAGGCTGGATGTGGCTCTGGACAGCCTGGTATTAGTGACTGGCAACTCTGCACATAGCAGGGGGTTGAAACTAGATGATCAACGTGGTCCTTTTCAACCCAGGCCATTCTATGATTCTTATCTCTCTTCCTAAGGCATCAGCTGCTGCCTACATTCAGACTGTTAGTCAAGTTTTCCAGAGCAGTTTCTGTCCTGCTGGTTAATCATCCTAAACCACGAGCTCAGAGCCGTTCCCTGCAGACTAGAGACTTTTCATTAGATCTGGAAGACTTCTGGAAAGTTACTTAAATTGTTTCCTGTTTTTCAGGTCACGTTTGCTTACTGTTCTGCCAACGAAAGAGAACCACGAGCAACCCGATGGCTCGGGAAAACCTCCCGAAGGCCCTGCAGTCCAACCAGCCCTCCAGGCCCACCGACGCGTCCCTCAGCGCCACATCTCCGCCGTTCTTTAACACCTCCAGGAACGCGCCAGGAACTCCACCGCCTCCCCAGGCAGTCCGTGCCAACGCATCGCCGCTCTTCCCGAGAGGAAATTTCTGCCGATGTCCAACCCGAACCTCCCCCGGCACAACCGGAGGCCGTTCCCTCTCACCCCCACTCTCTCACCTGTCGGCCCTGCCGTCCGAGGCCCGGCGCTCGGCGTCCCCGCACATCGCCGCTTCGCCGTCGCTCCGCATCCTCCGCTTCCCGTCGGCGCCGCGCTTCCTTCCCTGGGACCAGCGAGGGGGCGGCTGCGGGCTGCCGGCAGAGACGCGCTCCCTCAGAGACCCGCCGCCCCCGCGGCACAACATGGCGGCCCCTCGCTGAGGGGATCGCCGCCCAGCCGGGACCGACGGCAGCGCCCCGAGCCCTTCGCTCGCCCTACCTGCTCCTGGCCGTGCCGTGCGGGCTCCTCTGGCGGAAGGACATAGCGTGGGACCCTGAGGATGGAAAGACGGATGGAAGGACAGACGGACACACACACACGCAGGAGGCCGTGCGGAACTGCCGCCTTACCACCTGGCTCTTCGCATCTCCCGCCAGCCCGCCCGGCCCCGCCCCCCGCCGGTCGGTCCACTGCGCCGGGTACGGGGTGGAGATCCAGGGGAGCGGAGCGCGGCCGCTGAGGCGCCTCTTCTCCCCAACCACTCCGTGAGCGCGGAGCAACGGCCGGCCAACCCGCCTCGGGACGTGCACGGAACCGAGACACGCGCGGCGCCAGGACAGCAATTCCTCCTGCTTCCCCCCGCGACCCAGCGCCATGGTTCGGCCCGGCCCCGCCCGGGCGCGGCGGGAGATCGGAGCGCGGCTCAGCGCCGTTTTGGCGCGCGCTCCCTGCGCCCGCGGCCGCCAATGGCAGCAGCGCGGGGATCTGAGCTGCACGGCAGCGGTACTCAAGTACCTGCTAATGAGGACGGGACGGGCAGGTAGTTCAGGTCTCGCAGAATCCTTGGGTTGGAAGGGACCTTAAAGATGATCCCGTTCTAAAACCCAGCTCAGTCGTTCAAGGCCTCCGGTTGCAAATTACAGCAGGAGAAATTCACACTATTTCCCAGAAAGGTGCAAATGTTGTTTAAACTCTTAATTGCGTTTGTTTGGGATTTTTTGCAAAGCTGGGCCAGCTTTGATGGGCACATACACCTGCATGAAATCCCAGCAGAACTTCGGCAGTGACAGCCTGCTCGCTGCCAGCTTGCTTTTTGGGAGACGCACCAGGCCAGACCATGCATCTTCAGCCAACTGCAGTATTAAGATTAAGCAGTTTGACATCTCAGCAGAGAGCTGGCTTGCTTTTTTACACCCCATAGACTCCTGGTAAGAATGTATTTAGAAGCATCTTTATCTGTTTAATTATGCTGTTCAGGTGGAGCACTGGCATAGCCAGCACTCCTGTCTGAAACCAGTAATGTTTAGGAAACATGGGAAGGAGAAGCGAGTTCTCTTTCCCTCACCTCCTGCTTTTTTCTCCCTCACATTTTGTACACAGTCCTACACTTTCTCCTCTGCAAGATCTCTGTTATAGAATGTCTCCAGGCTGCCTCCCTCTGTGCACTAACAGGCTGACTTTGTGCTCAGCAGAACACTAAGATTTGAAAGCAGTGCAACTGAAGTTATCTTGGAAATTTCTTTCCCTTTCCTCGCCTTGAGCATTACTGTATCTCTTGTGCAGTATCTGTAAAAGAAATAGCTGTGCTTGCATAAGAATGTTTCTGCTGTGCTACCACTCTCCCACACACTGCCACAGAAAACAGAACTGTACTGGATGAAGGACATGCTTGAAGTTCAGTAGATGTTCAAAACATAGAAATCAAACCTATATTCCCCATCCTTGCTCTGAGTTAATGGCACATTTACCTGAATTCATCCAAGTTGCCCAGCTATAAGCCTGGAAGCCCTACAGCAGCTAGTATAGCAATACAGACACGTTAAATTCAGCTTACTAAGCAGAACTATCTGCTTTAACACAGCTTTAGGATTACACCTGCCTTGCATCATTTATATCTTTGACAGCAAAGAAAATCTGTCACAAACACACTTTCTCAGCTCAGTGGGAACTTTAAGGGAAGGAGGCATCCTCATCAGTGTGACCTCAAAACAACAGTTCAAGAATAAAAAAGCAGAAGCAAAGCACACAACCTGTGGCATTTCAGAACACTACTGAAGAACTGCTTCTGCAAGTACAGATAACACATCTATGAACTGACCCTTCCAGTGGATGCATACCAGTAGGAGATGCATGTCACTTCTCATAAGAAATCTTAAGTGGTAAAGCTTGAAACTTATTTTTGCATACAAACTGGATTTAATTAAAACTGATAACATTAATGAAAAGCTATCAAATAAACTGGAGATGGAATGCTAGATTCAGGCTTTGCTTACCTGAATTATTAATCCTTGAGTCAGATAGCTCTGGGTAGATAAACAACAGATAGATTTAACTGGTCTATTTAGATGGATAAGATTTATTAAGAGGCATTAAAATGGCTCTACATCCAACAGCAGCACTGCGTGGGATGACATCAGTAGACCTCAAACCTTACCTGTTCAGTATCCTTCCTCTTGTCGTGCTAGCACAGTTTGTCCAGATGTATGGAACCTGGATTAGAGAATACTTCTGCCCAAAATAACCACTACAGGAAGACTTAGTTATTCTAAGAATCTTTTAAGAGCTGACAAATTACAAATCCTATGGATTTGCATATGTGTATCTGCTGCAGAAGCCATCCATCCCAGACAAAAGCTTAAGGGCTCTGAAGGCTGAGCTAAAGCATTTCATGACAGCCTATTGCTCCCAGCTGACAGCTCCATCCACTCCACAAGCACACCTTTCTTATGGCAGTGAGTCCTGGGGCCCCAGCTGCTCCCCACCTTCCACTAGGCTACATACAAGCTCATGACAAGATGTCAGAACTGAGGGGTTGGACACAACCTATATTGTACTGTAAACCCCTTCTGAAGAGTATTTCCTACCCCTTTCAGCAGGAGCTAACTCCTACTCCCCAAAAACATAGCCTGAAGCAAACAGAAAGACAACTGAACCCGCATATTCCTTTTATAATAATGACAACACTGAAAGCAGACTAAGAGGCATTTTAAAGGTTAAAGACTTTAATTCCTCTGCATAAAGACAATATGCCAGAAACAAAAAAATCACTCTCACATTTACAGTCATCATAAAACACATGGAAGCATGCATGCTGGAACACCATCACTCTTAAATAGTACTTCAGAAGATGCTGTACAGATTTGTTCCCTGTATGCACATGCCATACTGCAGTATGTGACTGAGCTATCTCGTACTGGGACTCCACTGACCCTTAAGCATAAGCATAGATGGATGAGTCCCAGATGATGTAGGAAATGTAGGGGACAAGCCTCACCAACCTGCAGGCAGCCTCCTTTCACCCCTCAATGGTGGGAAGTTGACTAATCTGACTTCTAGGTACCAGAGGCCTCACCTTCTTCCTATGTCTGGGCAAGCACACAGCCATAAGGACATTCTTACTACTGAGCAGCAGCTGCCATCAATCTAATATACTCCTGTTAAAGCAGCAGCACACATTCCCCTACATATTGAATCTTTTCTTCACTGGGAACTAGCAAACTTGCTAAACATAACCACTGTAGCAATTTCTATACACTTGACAGGCTTTGGTGAAGACAAGCTAATGCTCCAGCTCACTGCAGTAATGCTGTATACAGTTCAAGTTTCCTTGATGCACTGGACAAATGAGAAGTGTATCTGAAAATTTCAAACTAGCACAGAAGTTCTACAAAACTCAGTTGAAAGAAATCTAAGCAACAGTTTGAAGTAATGCTTTGGAAGGGACTGGAAGTAGTTTCCAAGCAGCAGCTTGCTGCTTCAGCAGAACAGTGGATGTCTGGCCCTGGGAGTACCCTGCCAGTCCCACAAGGTCACTGTGCATCATCTCAAGGCCACAGTTCCTGCAGTGGCATTATGAAGAGCCAACTAACAATGGCAGAGCTGAACCACTGTAGAAAGACAACTAATAGCTCTAACAAATGTACGTAGCCCACTACTTAAGTCATAAAGTCTGTAAAGAAAATATATTTTACCTGACACATAGTTCTCATCTAAACTCCATTGGAGTCACAGCCCTTACTTTAATGCTTGGCGCACAGCATAGAAAAGTAAAATAAGGGAGAGTCAACATTATCACAGTTTAGCCAGGACACCCCATGCCCAAGCAGCTCCAAACCTGCAAATACTGCTGCTTCTCATTCATTTCCTGTAACAAGAGTAGCCACTGACCTCATCATCTTATCCCTTCAGCAGTATTGGCTCTTCAGGCCACACACATCAAAAGTGAAATCCAGGTATTCAGACCACATGGCTGCTTATACAGTCTCATCCCCTCAAAGAGAAGATGCTATTTCTGATAATCTCTCCTTCTCCCTTCACACTAGGCAGATGCTAGCTTAATATGTATTACCTCAGAGAATGGAAAATAAGTCAAAAAGATGATCGCGAAAAGCTAAAAGCAATTTGCTTTTGGCAACTGAAGAGCAAACTGGAATTATCTACATTGTTTAGAAGCAGTTCTCCAGGCTGGATACACAATTCTGGTTCAGTAGAGAAAACAAGGTTTAACTCCTTGATTCAGCTGGTGGATTCTTCACTCTGACTCAATACTGGACCAATTCACCAGCAAAATGTTAGTTCACTTTAAGCAGCATGATCTCCAAATGGCAACAGCAATACCCATCCCTGGAAGTAGCCTTTACAACATGATGCATGTCATTTGTCAACAAAGGTAAAGTAGAAATGTCCTCACAAAAGCTTTAAGGAACATCCATCATCATCTTAGGAAAATCTGAATAAAATCAGAGGTTTTACACTCGAGGCAGAGCTTGCAGAAGACAGTCTATCCTTAAAGATCTGGAGAAGCCTAAACAAAGAGACAAACAACAGTATTTTATAAATGTAATGTATCTAGTCATTAATGGCAAAATATTTACTTTCTTAAGCTGTGATGTTACAGATGAGTATTGCACACTGAACTTAAAACCTGGCGTAAAAGATCAAGTCATAATATCCACAGCAAAGAAAGAGTTAAAGACAGCATTAATACTTTGAGAATGTAACTTACAGTAAAAGCAGAGTAAAAACACATTGAACTAAATTACTTGCAAATGACAAAATTAAGAAGTTGAGCCTCTCTTCTGACCCCTTATATCAATCTTCACCTGGACCCTTGTTAATTCACAAAATACATTCCTTTTAATTCTAATTAGCACAATCCTGATTTTTTTTTTTTCCTTTGAAAATCAAGCATACTTTCAACAGGATACACACGTAACTGCAAAGCTGGTAAGTATCAACTGACTATCCCAGAAGACCAGAAAGGTTCTCAATTTCCATTATGGATGCATGCTTTTTCTTTGTTTTTGTTTTTTCACCTGCATGTTTCACCTTGTGTTGACTGCACAAATGCTGACTGTAAATCTCTTCTTCTTTCAGTGCAGAACTTAGGAGACTGCAGCAGTTGTCCAAGGTTTGATCTGCTGATTTCAGACTATATCCTAATCTTCAAATAATTTTCTGTCACAGGAGAAAGTCCTTCTTTGATGCTTCTATATACAAAGACAGACTAAATATTTACAAATATTAAATTAGCACTTTAGAAAAATAACATGTTAAGACTTAATTATATCTAAAGAACTTAAAATCAATTGAGTCAATAGAAAAAATGTTATTAGAGACATCTTTCTGTGAGAGCTCCACCTGCCTTTTCCTCATAGTATTAAAGGAATAC